AGTGAATGTGTCAGAGGTGCACATGAAATTGCAAACTTGACATCTGGGTTTACTACATTTAACGTTACCAGAAGAGTGGGAATTCTTATGGAGTTTAGAGGATGAGAGAATAGATTTCAAATTAGGGGATTGTCTTTTGGCTAGTAGGGGAGGGTCTTCAAAAAGGTGGCAAATAGATTTATCTTTATTGAGAATTTTATAGTCAGTTTTAAGTTATATATATATATATATATAATATAATAATAATAATAGAGACATTGATAAAATCAAATGAAACGGTTGACGTATTGGAGGAACATAAATATTTTATTGCACACGAATATTTCGTCCTGTCCTCAAAACTTTCTCAATGTGAATGAACAAAAACTGTTTCATTTGATTTTATCAATGTCTCTATTATTATTATTATATTTACTGGGAACATACGTGCTCGCAATCACATTGATGCCTACTATATATATATATATATATGTGAAGACATTACACACCACGATAAGAACTGAATTGTAATTGAAATACTTTCGTAAAACAAGCTTAATCAGAACATGAAGAAAGTTACTTCAAATTCAATATTTAATCTGAACAATTAACGAATTCATTGAATCAATGGATTGTCATAAACAAAACAAACTGAATGTTTATTAGGAATATTCCAGACCTATTTTAAAGACTCAAGGAACGAAATCAGATGTAGGCCTACGGCCAGGCACGCCTCCTCCCACTGCTAGCTAGGCCGTAGCCTAGTGTAGTCATGAAATCATCGCACGATTTTTACCTGTCTGGACTGACCGAAAAGGTCATTGACTGTATTCCCTATCAAGCATTAAATCTAACCTTCGTATAATAATTTTCCTATAGTGTACTATGCGGAGCTCTACTAATTAACATGTCGACAAGGATGCGAAGCCCCGCCCACAAAGTCACAAAAAACTTAGACAATGGCAGCTAGACTTACCGAGTTGGCGAAGATTTTCTTTGCTATCAACCTTCTTTAAGAAAGAGAATTCAGGGTAGGCGGTATGCAAATAAATCATATATTCATAGTGTTAATCTATCATGGAACATGGCGGGGAAATTGTTGTAAAAGCCTCTGTATTTCGCTCCCAAAGGAAGAGGGAAAAGCCGCATTCAGTCAACCTTGCTGTCGGCAAAGACCAAGTCACTGATGCGCACTGCTCGTGTAAATCTGGGTATCTATAACCAAGCATAGACATATGATGCGCACTGCTCGTGTAAATCTGGGTATCTATAACCAAGCATAGACATCTACTGTAGGCCTAGGCTCACCTATGTTTCGCGTTTAAACCAGCTGTCTAAGGAAATTAAAATGTCCGAGAAAAAGTTTTTGATCACGTGACTAAAGGACGCTCGCTGATTAGTGGGTTTACCTGTCAATCAAATCTCGTCAAGATGTTAATTGCTTAACGTAGTCAGCTTTACGCTAGATATCACATAATTATTCAATTCACTTTCTAATTGCACTTAAAAGAGAAAAAAATTGAGCTTACCCTATCATAAATCCGATTTAGAACACGTGGCACTGCAGGGATCAATTGGGGTTTCAAGGCTTGAATGTCCTGAGTTAAAATCTTCACATCCCCTTGAAAAAAACCAACCTGTGCACCATGTAAGTACACAACACCCTTAAAAAAAGAAATTAAATAAACAAATAATATATTAAACTTCAAACACCTTTGTACTTACTAAGACATACATATTTTATATATATATATATAAATAGTAATAATACTGTAATAAAAACAAAATGAAAAATAAAAAAAACAAAGTAAAAATCTCACCTGTATTGCCCTTTCAAACATGTGAGCTAATGGAAGATAGGAAAAGTGTTTGGAGCTTGTAGTGAATTCAACATTTTCCTAAATATGAAAAAATAAGCTAAAAATAAATACAGTAATTTAAAGCAATGCAGAAAATGAACTAAATTAAGTGACAAACAAGGCAATACAAATAACATTTACACTATAATATTAATCATTATTTACAGTACAGTATGATTATAATGAAGCTGCTTTTATGGGCCATCCATAATTTTAAACATTTTTAAAAGAGTAAAAAACATAAGCTTTAGGGGAAGGGGGTTGAAAGTGTAGGCATATGTACTTGTTTATGAAAAAGATGATTATCTCAAAATGACACAAATTCACATTTTGTTGTGTACTCTTTAAATAACAACAATAAAAAGATTGAAAATATTGGGCATTTCTGGTCTTCTTATTCAATTCAATTTTTTAAAATAAATTTTAATTTGTATAGATCTATTTTTTAATAATGAATAAAGTGATTAAACATAAAAATAATAATAATAATAGGTTTATTCATACTAACCTGTATATGCCTAAAGACACCAGCAATGTCAGCTATCAAGCAGGCATGAGTGAGGACAACACCTTTGGGGAGACCTTTTAATTCAACATACAAACAAAACATCAAGCAAAAATCTTACCAGCCTGACAGGTGTCTACTACTGTAGTAGACTAGAAAAAAAATCTGAAAAAAATGAGTTAGGGGAGTGGAATGTTAGAAGCAATCCACATAGCCAGATATCCTAATTAATCCCTTCTGGTCACCCTAAGCCCTGTTGACACTTGATTTTACGCCTTGTATACAAATGGTGGCCATTTTGAAAAATGGCCGCCAAATTTATCTAAAATGTGCATAAAATTGGAACTAAATAAGCTACAGATATGATTTTGGTGTCTAAACTCATAATTTCTAGACAAGCAACAAACTAGACATATAAAAACTACTGTCACTCAAACCAGAATGGAACATAATTAAAAAATAGATGTTTATTTGTAATCGCAAAATATACGTAAATGTACATAAAATAAGAACGAGTATATAAGCTACTAGTACTTTCACCATAATATGTTGTACAGTAAAGGCCAACTCAGACAGTCGGGTCTGTGTGAGTTGAACGCAGACGCGATGGTGTGCGTTGGGGGCAGTCGCGTAGTAGAATATTAAACGTGTTTAATATTTCTCACGACGGCTTAGGACTGTCCCCGACGATAAATCGGGTCGGGCTGCGTCAGCCGACGCTGTCTGAGCTGGCCTTAAGCCTACGACTTCTGGATCACTTTTTCTTCAGGTCATCTAATAGGCTTGAAAATATCAATATAAAGACGTTTGAGTAACAAAATTCATTGATTGTTTTTAATAAAGTGTCACTTTGATACCAAAAATTATGTTGCTCTAAAATATAATAAGGACAATCTGAATAAAATGACCATCGTCCTTTAAGGTCTAATTGATGATGTTGCAGGCATTTATCATCCGAATATTCCGAATCATTAGTAGACCTGTAATGTATACATTATTTTAATCGATTTCAACATGCTGTGTATAATATTTAATAATATGCCTACTATGATGGATAACCATGTATTTTATTCTTTATTTATTGACATGTTTAAAGTCGGAGGCGGATTTTAAGGAGGGTAGTTATGCAGCCGTGCGGGGGTTATACATTTTTGAAAAAATTAAAAGAAAATATTTTGTCAAAAGCGTTGTATTATTAGATTGCTCGGTGGTAGTAAGTAGGGGCCCATCGCCTTTCCGGGACTCATTTGGACATGGAGGAAGTAAGCGTTTCCCTAGAAAGCACACAGGCATTACATAACTGGTCAAACCTCCATAGTGGGGAATTCTGGGGCATAGTTGAGAGAACCCCTTCTAATAAATCTGCCAAATATTGTGTTTGTGGGATTTCTGTCTATTTGGTTTTTTTTCCGTAAAAATTATAGAAAAAGTTACGTATTGTTAAGCCGTTGTAGGAGAGTGCTGAGTATCAGTGTTACTGTAAGTATTAATAGTGGCTTCTCCAGGGCCCATTTGGACTCAGACTTCGCCCAGAAAGCACATGCGTTACTTAAGGCTTGGTAGTAATGTGCTAGGTAGTAGTAGGAGTGCACCCCTTCCTCCACCCTGAGAGCTCACGAGTTACACAAATTTTAATATGATAAGACATAATTGGACTTTATGGGACAATATATGAAACACTACACCGTTTCTGATATATGTATACTATACACGATATATATATGCAATACATTATTTAGCATTGGAAGAGCTTTCCAACGATACTAAACACGACTACTTTTGGTGAGTTTATATACTTATTCTTATTTTGCACATTTTAAGTATATTTTGCGGTTATTTTAAAACAAATAAACACCTACTGTATTTTTGAATTATGTTCCACTCTGGCATGAGTGACAGTAGATTTTATATGTCTGGTTTGTTTGCCTGTATAGAAATTAATTAGTTTAGACACCAACATCATATCTGTTGCTTATTTAGTTCCAATTATGTGCATTTTCGATAAATTTGGCGGTCATTTTGAAAATCGACATTCTTATATCCATAATATACCGTATGCATTTTTACATTTAATTACATCATTTAATTTCTGATTAATAACAATTCCGATTTTTATCAGCTTTCTCTCACCTGTGGTACCACTTGTGAAACAAACTGTAGCAACATCTTCAGGGGATGGTAGCTTAAAATGAACAAGAATTTAAGAAATAATAGCAAACTTTCCAATACCACCCTCCACCCTATTACATAATATGGAAACAATTGGTGTTTTCTGGTAAAATCTAAAAAAATCCTCAAACCTTGAGTTGCTCATCCAAAATGAGCCAACAGCTTTTCACAATTCAGTTTTCTCCAATTTTACCTCAAAACTTCTTGCAAAACAGCCAATTTAAATAATCATGTTAGAATCAGGGACGAAATTAACAAAAATCTTTAGTATCAGTTGAAATCTAAGTAACTTTAAACTTTAATCTTGAAGTATCCAATTGAATGCTATTGTTCAAGGTTAATAGGTAAAAATCTGCAGTTTATCTCTGAGAGAGCATTGTGTAAAACCCTATTCAGACCATCAAATTGTATTGTAATTGTATTTGACTAAATTAGGTCCTGTCTCTTATACACATCTAGATGTGTATAAGAGACAGTAATGAAGCTGCTTTTATGGGCCATCCATAATTTTAAACATTTTTAAAAGAGTACAAAACATAAGCTTTAGGGGAAGGGGGTTGAAAGTGTAGGCATAAGTACTCGTTTATGAAAAAGATGATTATCTCAAAATGACACAAATTCACATTTTGTTGTGTACTCTTTAAATAACAACAATAAAAATATTGAAAATATTGGGCATTTCTAGTCTTCTTATTCAATGCAATTTTTTAAAAATAAATTTTAATTTGTATAGGTCTATTTTTTAATAATGAATAAAGTGATTAAACATAAAAATAACAATAATAATAGGTTTATTCATACTAACCTGCATATGCCTAAAGACACCAGCAATGTCAGCTATCAAGCAGGCATGAGTGAGGACAACACCTTTGGGTAGACCTTTTAATTCAACATACAAACAAAACATCAAGCAAAAATCTTACCAGCCTGACAGGTGTGTACTAATACCTTAATACACCTGACAACTCTCGTGCATGAGCAACTACTTTTATGTCTCACGTATATGTTGTATTATCTCACGCATCATAAAAATTTAAAAGATAAATGTAAATCATACCCTAAAATTCATAAACATAAATGAAGTGAATTCGTCATTAAAATGCGAGTACAGGCCATATAAAGCTACCGTAAAACCTCAAATTGAAGCCCTGCGCTTCTTTTTTTATGCAAACTTTGGATAGGCTTCTTTTCGAGACCAATTTTGCAAAATAAAGAGGGAGCTTCTTTTTAAAATGAATGCTGTAAATTTTCGGAATTAGTACTATAAAACAATAACTAGGGCCTAGTACTGTAACATTAATCTGTGTTATGGAGTGTATTAACTCGCATTAAATCACCTAAACTACTGCATCCATGTTTTTGTTTCTTTTGAAATTTATCTTGAAAAGAAGCCAACTATACAGCATCAGCCCGTGGGCTTCTTTTCAAGGCTAATTTTGCAAACTGAAGAGGGGGCTTCATTTCTCAAGATTAAGACCATTGGGCTTCAATTCAAGGCTTTATGGTATACCAACTGATGACAGTAATTGGTAGCAGTTGCACCTCTACAATTAAAAAAATTAACATAGAGGGTGCTCTATTTTGTGATTTTTACAGGGCACTATATACAAATTTTATTTAAATTTTTTTTGTCTCAAGCATCAAATGCTAACAAAGTTGGCAGGTATACCTTAAACTTTCAGGAAGTTTTTGCAGTGGTTAAAGGAAATTTCGAACAAATGTAAGTTGGATAATTGTGATCGGTTTGCCACAAATTTAAGTTATTCTTGGATGTGAATTGCTGTTATTATAAATGAACTTCCACGGACATCTGCATTCTAATTTTTAACACTTAAATGTTTCATTCATCATATTTACATTTCATTATTCCATCACCATCAAAATATTGTCAAATATTTCCATCATCTAAGAAAGAGCAGCTTAGCTCAGTTGGCTAATCTAGTGGTAGCCACTGTGTGTGCGCTGAACAGTGGAGATCTCTAGGTTTCCGGTTCAATTCCCATCGCTGCTTCTCCTTGTGTTTCAGCTAGAGGGCCGACATAAAAGTTACATAGCGCACCGTCTTTCGGATGAGACGTTTAAGCCATTGGTCCCAGTACACTCTTCAGAAAAGAGTAGGCCGGGATTGTCTCCCGGTGTACTGACCAATCTAGACTTTCATGGGCTATCCTTGGTGTTTACACCGAATAAATCCAATCCAATCCAATCTTATACAGTACCAACATAATACACTATATAAGTCTACCATTATTATTATTATCATAATAAATATAATCACAGAAGTACTGCATGATGTCATAATCACCTCTGCCACGTTTGCATTTTTACATTTAATTACATCATTTAATTTCTGATTAATAACAATTCCGATTTTTATCAGCTTTCTCTCACCTGTGGTACCACTTGTGAAACAAACTGTAGCAACATCTTCAGGGGATGGTAGCTTAAAATGAACAAGAATTTAAGAAATAATAGCAAACTTTCCAATACCACCCTCCACCCTATTACATAATATGGAAACAATTGGTGTTTTCTGGTAAAATCTAAAAAAATCCTCAAACCTTGAGTTGCTCATCCAAAATGAGCCAACAGCTTTTCACAATTCAGTTTTCTCCAATTTTACCTCAAAACTTCTTGCAAAACAGCCAATTTAAATAATCATGTTAGAATCAGGGACGAAATTAACAAAAATCTTTAGTATCAGTTGAAATCTAAGTAACTTTAAACTTTAATCTTGAAGTATCCAATTGAATGCTATTGTTCAAGGTTAATAGGTAAAAATCTGCAGTTTATCTCTGAGAGAGCATTGTGTAAAACCCTATTCAGACCATCAAATTGTATTGTAATTGTATTTGACTAAATTAGGTCATGATGATATCACATCATTACCATATATATGGCAAATCATGACTTTATATGGACATACAACAGTTTTTGCTCAAAGAAATTTGATAGTGTACATAGAGCTTAGGAACAAAAGAAATAAATAATAAATATTTGTTTTAATACGAACATCATAAAGTAAATGTGTACGCTGAACCATGGAGATGGTCCCCGGTTCAGTTCCCATCGCTGCCTCTCCTTGTGTTTCAGCTAGAGAGCTGAAAAACAAGTTACTATAGCGCACCGTCTTTCGGTGAGACGTTTAAGCCGTTGATCCCATGTGCATTATGGCCCATGTGCACGTTAAAGAATGCAGTACACTCTTCGGAAAAGAGTAGGGGATTGTCTCCCAGTGTACTGCCCGATCACCACCAGAAGGACCCCACTGGAAATAAGTCTTCTTCTAGACTTTCGTGGGCTATCCTTGGTGTTTACACCGAATAAATCCAATCCAATCCAATGTTTCATTGTTAACCTCAATCTACCACTTTATTAAGTTTAGTATTTCTGTACTTACCTTTCATTGAGGATATAGTATATATAATTCACACATAGATTGGTATAATATTTCCCTAGCACTAGGTGGACAATTCATGAGCATTACCTGTTCTTTGTGTGGGTGCTCCTGGCCAAGCTTCAACATTCCATCAAATCTTATCACTTCTACTCCTTTGCTTTCACCAGCTGATTTCAATTCTGCACTTACTTCACCCACCATCAGAACAATTATCTTCAATGAAGGTGTTTCCTCTGCCTTTTCCAAAAGTTTGTATATTTTCTCAGTCGTGTCCAAGAACACCACAGGAATCACAGCTTGAAGATAAAAACAAAAATTGATGCCAAATGGGACAACCTGAGTCATACAACAGAAGCAGCCTGGGAATCACCTAGTACAAATGTACTTAGTAAATTTAATTGGGTTCTAATTTCAAATAAATATATTAATGATTGTAATATTCTTGTTTATAAAATTTTAAATAATATGGCACCATCTCACTTAACATACTTGTTCTCTTTCAATGATTACAGCTATGACTTTCGTAAAAGTAAAACAAATGTATATGTTCCCAAACCTAAGACTAATTACAAAAAAAGAAGTATCTCATATCATGGTGCTATTGAATGGAAATAAATTAAGCCCTGGTGCTCAGTCTTCTACCAATTTAACTATTTTCAAAAACCACATTTGTACTAATAATTAATGAAACCAAAGTTTAATAGTATGAACATTGTATAAATCCTTATTTTGATGTTTTCTTGCCTTGTTTTATTTATATTTTACATTCCTTTTTGTAATTTTCTGTTTTCTCTTCTTTTCCATAGTTTATTTTGCCTTTTTTAAGTATAGATTACAGTACTTTTATACTGTATTTATACTATTTTGTTGACTTTTGCACACAGTACTGTTTAACAATTATATTTTGTATCTATTCTATTTAATTTCTGCATTTAACTTTTGCTTTTTATGATGTACCTTTATGTGTAATTTGTTAATTGTAAATAAGGTATCTCACAGCCATAATGAAAAACAGCATTGTATTTGTTGATTTGTGCTTCATGAATAAATAAAGTTTTATTACTGCATCATCATTATAATTCATTCTTCCATTAGGTCCAATACATATTACATTTAAATCTGAACTTACCTCTTTAACTGATTGGCTTCTTAAAACACACTGTGCCTTTAAACATTATTCTTTGAATTGGTGCATTACAAGTTTTTTTATTATTATTAAGCTCAGTGGTCTAGTGGTTAAGACATCAGGTTAGATACCTGGAGGTCGTGAGTTCGATTTCCACCAAAATCACTTGCGAATTTGCTAGCATTTGGGGACGTACTGAGTATTCAGTACAACAACATGTCAGGTAGGGCAAAACATCCTATTATCCTATTATTATATTATAGAGGGATGCACAATGTTTACTATACCTTGATTAATTATATGAACGCATGCATCAGGACCTAATGTGTCATAGAGTGGTACAGTTACCATGTTGAATCGGAAGCAAGCTTGTTCTACAATAACCCACTGAAAATAGATCAAATAGAAACATATATCATCATTATCATTTCATTTCATTTTCATTTATTTATTGGACATCAAGCGGTCCATGGGTTGTGTCAGCAACAATGCGCCCTAACACGAATGTGTTCGCAACCTCTGTACAAACAACAGATTACGTAGTTAAAATTCAGATATTTACAACTTCAATAAAATACAATTCAAAGACCAACAAATTAAAAGGTCCAGTAAAATAGATGTAAAAAAAGTTAAAAAAAAAAATATATATATACAATTGAAAAGCGATGGGTTTATGGAAGTGAAATATTAATAAAATGATATTGCACAGAATCAGCGAATTGCAATTTATAAAAAACAAGGAGGTGTTTTCTGAACTCTCCTAGATACCCTTCTTTTCTTTAAACTTTTTCAATGCGGCCTATGTTACTTGCAGTTCTTGGGCCCCATGCCGGTAAACCGTATTCAAGAATTGTTAGGACAACAGCTTTGTAAAGACATGAAATAGCGTCTGGAGAGCAATTACCAGCAACAGAAAAAATAATTTTTTTTTTCATCTTCTGGTACCCTGCACAACCTCATCCAATAACCTCTTAATGGAGTATATTTGCACAACGCTAAATGCTATGCATCACTGCTCGCAGATGTGTTAACACTTCTCCCACCCTTTTTTAAAATTAATGGCTTCGCTTTAAGTTTTTTACTTTTAATTAATATTTCAAATTCTTCCTTACTGCTTTGGAAAAAAAAAATGTATATAATGTACATTATCCAACAAATGTTGAAATAATAATTTATTAAATCAATCCTTCCTGCAAAACAGATAATATCGGTTATCAGAAAATATAATTGTATTTTATAATTTAGAGAAAATTGCTCCTAAAGACAAAAACTGAGATGCATGTGTTTTGTTTGAGGTATCTGAAAGGGAAAAAAGAAGATCTAGCCCTTTTAGATGATTTGGAAGAGAAACATTTATAAGAAATGATTTGACCTTACAGATTTTATGCCAATTCTAAAACCATCAGGTTGTTTGTCCATATATAAATAAGCATATGCACTTTAAAGTTTAACATTTCCATACTATTGGAACTGTGCCATAAAAAAATCCGTGGCCCCATCAATTCCATAGCTTAGGAGCAGATGCCATCCCACCTGACCACATATCGGACTCATTCAAGGTTAACTTTAATGAATTAGAAGAAAAAAATTATTAGAATCTATTCTTGAACTTCCTGTTGGATGTATTTAAGAATTAAAACCATCACTACAATTTCCTTTTCAGCAACCACTTAACCACAAGTTCTCGTACAGTACTTATAAGGATTTATTTCACACCAAAGGTGTAAACATAATTTGTGTCAACTTTCATACCTTATTTATTCAACTTGCCTTAAATCAGTGATGGTCAGATACAACTTTTTTTTTTTTTATCAAAACAGCAGAATTAAACCCAAAGTTTTGCTTAATGCATTTATATTAAAAATGAAATTTATAGTACTTAAAATTATTTTATAGTAATATATATATATAGTTTTCCTAGGACAGAAGTTTACAAGCATGTAAACATCTTTTTAAAACTTTCTTGGTTGTTTTTAGGCACTTTGATTTTGAAGGTAAAATTTTCTCCATGAGGTTTTTTTTTTGTTGTTTTGAGACCTGAAAGTGGGTGACAGAAATAGAAATTTTATATTCACAATCTAGTCTTGTTATCTATCTTCACCATTTGGTTTTTGGATCTGCCAACCAAGCAGCAATGGTAAAAGATAACTCACCTCTGGTCTGTTGTTGGAATAAATACCGATATATGTACTCTGACCGGAGGCATACCCCTTCTCAACTATTGCTGAGCCTACAGCAAATGCACGGTCTAGCACCTGAAAATAAAATAGCATTTAATATAAAAATATTATGAAAAGAATCAATAGTGAAATAATTTGTATCAAATCGTTTGTTACATAGAAACTATCTTAAATTGTTTTTGTATAGTGCAGGTACTGTGTATTGTAAACAATGTTTTATAAATTGCTTTGAACACAAGTTGAATTATGAAGTGTTGTTATTATGTACATTAATAGAATACATACACATTATGAAGGCTACTTTAAAAACAAATTTACAATAATTCCTGAAAAACAAATAAAGTGGGAACACTGTTTTGACTAACAAATTTATTTAAGGCACAAGCTCTTGCTACTGTAGGTCTAGCTACATTTTTCTAAAGCTTTTCTCTTACTAGGGGATTTTTCAGCATAGGAGTTAGAAGAGTTTGCCAAGTTGCTAACTTGGCAAACTCGGAAAAACTTGTAGGACGATTCAGGAAGCTCCGGGAGAACTCTTACTCACTCGTAGCAGCCTTGAAATTGTGGCGCTAATTTTGAACATGTTCAAAATTAGTGCTACAAGTAGACAACTTGTATTAAACTCGAAAGACTCGTAGGTAATTTGTTGAGTACTCGGGGTACTCCTACCTAACTCGTACACTACTCGGGATACTCGTTGGCAGTTTTGTAATCCACAAGTTTGATGCGAGCACCCCGAAATGAGTATGAGTTAAGTACGAGCACACAGAGTTGGTTACAATCACCAGGAACATTTGGTCAAAATGCTCGTACCTAACTTGTATCTAATTCGGTACAAACTTGTTACACTCGTAATAATCTAATTGTAAAGCTTGTAGTAAACTCAGTGCTTCACTCGGCATAATTCGTATATAACTCATAACCAACTCCGTATAGGTTGTACTTCTCTTGTAGCTAACAAGTAGTAAGCTCGTATAGAGGTCCTTTCCCAAGCAATTAAATTACAAATTTTTAACTCATTGAACTCGTACAACTCTTGGATGAAATCAACCTAGGTGGGAGAGGGGCTTAAGTCTTCAATTACTAACTGTAAATTAAATAGCTCTTTGTTCATTTCAAGTTTTTAAAATATTTGCTTTTGTGCTTTTAATGAAGTTCTTTTATAAATTAATTTCTTTATTTGTTCAGGTATAAAAATATAAAACAATTACAAACAGCATCAAAATATATATACACAACATCAAAATCACGATCATCCCAGCAAACACAAAACGTTCTTATAATGTTCGCAAATGATGTGGTTTGGTATGTCACAAAATAATGTTCACACAATGTTGTAAGAACGTTCAAAAGTTGTGACATTGTGAAATTAGGTTATAAGTACGTACATATAGTTCTACAAACATAATATTGTTAGCTGGGATAACATCACAAATAAAAAACAACAAAGTAAATACAAAACAGGAAAATGCTAAAGATAAAAAACAAAAAACAAAATAAAACAAATCATAAAAAAATACCAAAGTAGATCTAAATATTATTATAATTAATATTATTATTTTTGGCATTAATTATCATTAAATTATTAAGTTGATTATTTTACAAATATTAAAGTTTTACAGTAGGAAGGAAAAATTTAGAATTTTTCTATGCGAATTATATACCACATAATTATTTTATTCATATTTTGATATACAGTACTCTATTATCTCAATTCAGCTATGTGCTACTATGATAATTTCAATAAAGATACCTTGATGAACTATCACTTTGATTATTTACATTCTTCAAAATCTACATCTCTACCATTATCTTAAATCTATGTAGCTAATAGTTATTTTTGAGCTACAATGATACTTTTGGTTTCACTTCCTATTCAAAAACAAATTCAAGCAATTGAAATCCAAGTTGTCCTTTGAAAAATAATTGAATGGTATGCATTCCACTTCTCAGCAGTGAAATAATTTGATTAACAGTAGTAAAGTACTACAAAGCTTTATTCACTTCACAGTCGGCTTAATCCTTGGCTTAAAAAAACCACTTACCTCCTGATAGGACAACCAATTGTAAGACTCTGTTGGCCCAGGTCTCCAACCAAGACATGGTCCATTATCTGTTCAAAAAGAGCAGAAACAGAATTCAGTATAACATTTATATACTGAATTTTGGCAAAGGACACAAACCGCTCTCGCTGTTTTCGAAAGAGACAATAGGAATGCTGTTATTCCTGTGTGTACCACATGGCTTTGCTACACCCTCTGGATGATCAACTCAATCGGCCTCCACCATACAGCTTAGGCCAATGTTCCATAAGCATATCAGTGATGAACCTATCCCATCTATTAGCTGCCTGCTTCTCTATTAAAAATTTCAACTCGGTAGAGTTTAAAACCTGTCTTTTTGATTGAGATATGTACAGGGCATGTACAGGCTGGGTCTTTATTTTACTCAGTTCATTATAAACTTTTACTCTTTATACCAAATTCACATTTGTGGTGGCAGCACTTGCTCTCTTCTACTTTGTAATTTAAGATATTTTTTGATATCAACATATTGTCTAAAATTTAGGGCAGCATTTTATATCTCCATGACCTCACACAGTAAACACATCATTGAATCTGTATAGAAAAATTCAATACAAAGAGGACATACTCGCACGACAACTTATCAAACGGACTGAAGGTTTTAACACAATATGCATACCATCCGCCACAATATGCATACCATACCATCCATTGTTGTGGCTTGAACTCCTAACCTTGAGGTCGGGGGTTCGAAACTCTCACTGTCCAAGTCGCTTGTGTCCTTGGGCAAGACACTCTATCTACCATTGTAATGAAATATTCAGTTAGATGTATGAAAGTTGTTTTTTTTTTTTTTTTTTTTTTTTTTGGAAATATTTCCATTTATACTTTTTAAAATTAAGTTTTACAATTCCTTCACTTAGGATGCTGTGGGTTGTGGGCTTATACTCTTTATACTTATCACCCACTGCATCTATTAATGTTTTTTTACTGTAATTTTTTTCTCGTTAAATGTTTGGGGTATGAGCATTTTCAATTGATACTGGGCATTAAACAGCTTAGCTCAGTCGGCTAATCTGGTGGTAGCCGCTGTGTGTGCGCTGAACCGTGGAGATCTCTAGGTCCCCGATTCAATTCCCATCGCTGCCTCTCCTTGTGTTTCAGCTAGAGGGCTGAAATGCAAGTTACAATAGCGCACCGTCTTTCGGATAAGACGTTTAAGCCGTTGGTCCCTTGTGCATTTATGGCCCATGTGCATGTTAAAGAATGCAGTACACTCTTTGGAAAAGAGTAGGGGATTGTCTCCCGGTGTACTTCCCAATCACCAACAGAAGGACCTCACTTCTTCTAGACTTTCGTGGGCTATCCTTGGTGTTTACACCGAATAAATCCAATCCAATATAATTAAGATGTGTGTAGTGAAATCTGGAAAACCTTTAAAAATGCTTATTTTAATGCAAGTAATTAAATTTCTATGAAATGCAATTTTTGCTATCATCCAGATATTTTACTACTAAAATCTTTAAATTGATTACAATACCAGCAAAATTAAGGGTCTGGCCTACAATTAAATAAACAATAATACAGTATGTGTGTGTGTTAATTGGAAATTTAAATATTTTCAGTTAAATGTTAAAAACATTTACAAGGAAATTCAAATATTGAATTTTATTTAATAATTGCTAAACACAGACAGTATACGAACAATGATATACAATATGGTGGATGGCAAAGCAAAGTATAATACAGTCTGTTGGCAACTGTAGGTTCATGCAGAAAATGCAATCAAAGGGTTTTGTGTATGTAAAATTGTTATGCTAATTATACACACAATTCATTTGTTACATGCTGCTTGAATTTCACTTGTGTACAATACTACATCCAAAACAAACACATCTATAAGTAGGCATAAAGTATAGTAAATTGATGAAAAGAAAAATAATCAAGGAAAAATCTGTACGTCATGAATCATGGCGGAATTAGTTACTGCCATGCATGAACCATGATTTAATTCAGGCTAAGTGTAATAATTAATTATCACATTTAAATCATTCATTACATTTTATTTGCTTTTTTCCATAACAAGTACAATACACATCCTGTACGTCGTGGAGGCGGAGCTCTTTTTTTTTTTAATAATGCATTGTGGCTGGCGTAGTGCGCGCATGGATATACATTTAATGATGATTTGAGATGATGTGAGATGCTGCAGCTGCGTAGTTTTGTGGTGGGCTGCTTGATAGGCCATCGGAACTTTATCTTAATGATAAAGATAGAAACCCGTGAATTATTTGAAAGCTCAAACCATGGATAAAATTAATTGATTCACCAGACAAGGAGGTAGGCTTTTCTCATAGAATTTCTGGTTTTTTTTTTCTTAAGTGCTGGCTTAGCCAGTAGTATGTAATTATTTCATAGTACACTAGAAAAGTAGCTGACTACTACTAGTACTACTCGCTCGGCCTACCACTACTACAAGGGTTACTATTAGCAGTACCTTCTGAGCATGTGTGCGAATACAGAAAAACAAACAATCAATTGACACTAAGCGGTGACTTATCATTGTCAGCTTATTTAGCGATACTTTATTTAGCGATAACATAGTTTAGATTTACATAGAAATAAACTGTTGATTGTTAATGTTCATTGTTCGAAAAAAGATAACAAGCTAAGTGATTATAGGGTAAGTTCCGTCGTTGCGCCGTCGATATACCGTCGATATGCTGATTACTGAAAGATAATCACCAACGAAAAGTCGACGGCAAATAGACGTCTACTTAATTACCACCGGGCAGTACACATTTATAAGAATCAATTCAAACATTACTCACAGGTAAAAAACAAAATTTGAACAAAGCATGATTTATTGTAGTTGTTCATGATCTTAATAATATGCTCACTTGATATAACAAACAATAAATTCATGCTACCATTTGTAAAGTGACATAATCACTCCAAAATCCCTCCTTTTGGATTTGTCCAAGAGTATAGATCCAGGTGCTCTTTATCAGTACTGCTGAGAGACAGAGCAAACCAACCAAAAAATAACAAATAACTACAATAACCTCAGATATATTTACTATGCATACTTACTACTTTGTGCCAATCCACGGACAAATGCTTGGTAAAGTGTTCTGCCATCTTCATAGGTGTAAGAAAGTAGATCCGGAGTGCCATCCTCTCTGATTTTTGTGAATGGAGAGATATGAATCCGTTCATCGCCCTGGGAAAATAATTACAGAATAAACATTGATTCAGAATTTACCAACTGTAATGACATTAGGGCGATGAGCAGGTGAAGATTTGTGGGGGGGGGGGGCAAACCAGCCCCGTTCCCCCTCCTTTTAAAAAAAAATGTAAAAAAGAAAGAAAGAAAAAGTAATAATATGATCACCCAAAACGCCTCAGAGGTTATTTTCGGGCACCTAGGGTAGTGTTGTCTCGATCGGCCCCACTTTCGTCCCCACCCCATTCGGACATCTCTGGATCCACCCCTGGTGAGTCTGGGAATGATAAAAGCTGATGACAATGATGTTGATGAGAATGTTGAGGATGAACATCATAATGATGTAGGTGTACTCTACCATAATGACGGTAACGATAAATGACCTGATAAATGATCAGGATGATGAAAATAAGAATGAAAATATGGATGATAGGGTGATGATGACGGTGATGGTGATAATATTGATTAGAAATTGATATTTTATAAAAATGACTATTTAGATAATTGATGACAATGATGTTGACAATGAATATGATGATAAAGATGAATTGGAGGATCGATGCCTTCAAGTTCAAGTTTCTCTTTACTGTCACGTAAATGAAATTCTTCTCACAAATGAATGATATTGTACATACTTACAGGAAGCAAAACTGATTGTTTCTGAAGACTACCAGGCGATGTAAAGTGTCTTTTCTGAACAACAAGGTAAATAGTGGTTCCTATGGCAACAGTTGCTGCACCATAAACAAGTAGTTTATAAGTCAGTGCATCCCATACATCATCCATAACTGATACTTCCTCACTGAGTAGAGGCAAAGCTACAAAAGGTTAAATGTTAACAAAGTTTATTTTATTTGCATAGGGACCAGTGGTGGTGCTTTGATTTAAATGCCCAATGGTTGAGGGGTAGGTGGTCTAAGCTGCTCGACAGGGTGCATGATGATTGAGTCTGTTCCGACTTCCAGCATGGGGAGACTTGAGACTCCTATGATTGTAGAGGTATCTGTAAAATTGTGAAGGGTGGGCATTTGCACCCGTCGGACAGGCCTGGACCCCTGTCGTGCGAAGCACGACTGCATCGTAGGATAAAAAATTTTGTGCCGTCGACCCCTTGGCTCAGACCCCTCCGTTGGACATGTCAGACTCCTTGTCGGCAAATTTCTGGCACAGCCGCTGTTTGTGTCCTAACAAAGAAGATTTGTCACCAATAGTATCAGGTACGTATGGCGCTGTGTTATTAGCACTAATGTAAGCCTACTGTATTATTAGGCCAGAACCCTGATGAAATACACACAATAAATGAATGAAGATTTGAAAAACAAGCAATTATGAACAAATTACTGTATACTATGCCTTCAGAAACCAGAACATTTTTCATAACAATAACAAATATTGTTTACCTATTATATTTTATTGCCGATTCGCTAAAATCTAGTGCGAACTTAAACCTAGGCTAAAATATACAGTAGTAGTTTGTAGGCCAAAGTGTAATGTACTGTACTGGTATAAATAATATCAGTAAAGGAAAAAAATCACTTATCCATAACCCATCGCGTGCCGGGGAATGGAAAGCACCACATCTGGTCGCTAGACCGGTTACAGTATAGTATTTCCCAGGCTTACGATTCCGATAAGTACATTATACCTATACTATAATCCGTTAGACGAGCAATGTTATCTTGCAGGTTGGAGATGGTTGGAGCATCGACTTATCGGTGCGGTAATACTGATTAATGATCAAGATAATTATAATTTACCACAAATAAACGAAGAACTTACTTTATTGTCTGTCTCATAAAACACATGCGGATGTAGATATAATATCTCGCGATTTGCTAAGCACGGCGTGCAAAGCCTGATACCACCACCACACATGAGCTGTTAAATGTAATTGTTGACCTACTTTTTATTAATGCACCACGCGTGCGGGTAGCATGTGGTCGGGTTCTCAAGTTGAACAAAAGCTGAAAAAAGTACAACTTTCCAACCTAGAGCGTGAAAAGGGTTCATTCCCATAAAAAACGAATTACCCGCTCATCCTGCACTTACAAGCAAGTTATTCGACTGCAAATAGAAAGAATAAAATGTATCACATCCCTCTCCTTTTATGCAGGGGTGGGCGCCAGCGGAGCAGTGGAGAGGGGATTTGCGCGGTGGAGAGAGCTCCCCAACCAGTATTAAAATTAAAAAAAATAAAAAACATTTTGTCCGGGAGAAAAAAAAAAATTCACATATTAGACTATAATCGATTAAATAAGACTTTCATTCATTCATTCATTCATTCATACTAACATTTATTTTCTTTCATTGGTATGAGTTACAAAAACAATATACAATATCATAAAAGAAAAGAAAAAATGAGAATAATAACATGCAATGAAAAAAGACTCGGTCCCGAAAAGAGAAGTCTTGAGT